ATTCACTCGCAGTTCTAATGTTTTTAATTTTTAGGTGAAAATTGATTGCTAGACATATACTTTCGAACAGGCCCTACTCTTTCGAAAATCTTACTGCAACTTGAAAAATCCATGGGTCACCGAAAAATCCATGGGCCACCGAAAAATCAGACGGAGCCATATCTAATCCTGACCGCAGGGGACGCGTCACTCGTCAACGATTCCATTCTAAGGTTGGGGAAGACAGGGTTTCGCACGGGAGCCGCCATCAAACATTCGATGTTGAAACTCCCTTGTTTGAGAGCTCGCACTGCAGTATCTGGAAGGCAGAAACACAGAGGTATGGCGGGTTCTGTGACGTGACCCTGCCTCCTTCAACCCTCGAAATGAATGGGCGGCGAGGAACACGTACTCCTGGGAGAAGGGCTGGGTACGGCCCACGGTTAACACTGCAGTCGAAAGAATAGCACTTGAAATCTAGAAGGCAGCCAATATTACCTTGACATTGATAGCGGCACCCTATCACCTTACTCTAGGTACTCCCCTCTCGTACCGTACACTTATAATCGTTACCGTCGATCGAAAACCTAAGTATCAGATATCTTTTTGACTCCTTCAAGGTTACGCTGCAACTTACCATAGATACGGGAAGCCATCACCATCAGTTCATTCAAGCAATAGAACAATTAGATGAAGAGTTAAAAGGTGTATTGCCTTGCAAAGACATAAAATGATGTTCACACCTGACACGCTTAATCATCCTTGGATCCACTTGTTGCCCGTCCACAGGAGGAGGTAGTGAGTGGGGATCTTGAAAAATAAAATAATGGTATGATAAAAAATATTTGTACACAAAGGGATTATCGCAAACTGGCTTACAACGGATTACGCTACGAGCGACTGGAAGTATTCGCCATTTGACCCTAAAATGAACATTTTTTGCTGTGAAAAAGAAATCTAATTGAAAATAACACAAGGGTACTCAGGTAGCCAACAATAACCGATAGATAGACGCTGCAACACTGCTCTACTTACCTAGACTTCTTGAGATCCAGAGCCGCGAGGTGACAAACGGCTCCATCTACAACGATAATTTTTTTAATGAAGGGAACAAATAATAAATCTAATTTCTAATTAATTTTTGTTCTAAGCTCAAAGGAAAGAAACATCCGAAGTGTTGTGAAAAAATACTGAACGTTCTAAGGTGATGCCTATTTCAGGCTTGTGAAATAAACAAAAAAAGGAACGAACATCAAGTATCGCGCTCCTAGTGCAATATACAGCATTCAATTTTCATGGGGGAATGAGAGCAGAAAAAGTTGCTACGTTGTTCCGAGCGTAAGCTGGGCAAAGACTTAACAAGAGATCTGGGCGCTATTGCAATATGCGGGGCATCCCTTAGGATTGAGCATAGGAGTTAGCAGCAGCTCCGGTGAAAATGAAAAAGGCTCACGCACCTGTCCTCCCTCATGTAAGGTTTAGATCGTTTCTAACGAAAAAGACATCTTTTACGCGGTTTTGAATGCATTGCCACCACAGTGCCCCCGTATATTGCGAGAGCTCTAGAGATCTGCGTTGTTAAGATGTTGGCGTTCAATCCTTTTCAAGATCAAGACAATTAGGTGGAAAAAGGGTTATAAGATTATACAACGTCGGTGATGTTTCCCAGTAATCTCACGAAGATTAAGGCTGCCTGTTGTTTCTGCTTTCCACTCATTCACCTCACACTCACACTTTTTAATAAATAAAATAAATAGAGAAATTAAACAACCAAAATGAAAATAAGGAATGGTTTGAAACTTGCTAATTCAAATCCAAAACCCAACCCCAGAGTTCGAAAAAGAACAAGAGTGAGAAATTTCAGGTTGGTGGGTGATAGAATGAGAAAGACCCACGCTGACTACCGTGCATACTAACACAATGATTTGAAAATACCGCTTCGATGGGTCTTACAGTGGAGGTGTTCCAGGGTGTTGAGCGCTTTTCCAAAACGGTGTTTTGAATCTTGTACGGGTTCTCACGTGATCCGCAAAGTGAGTTTCATTTTTGCTGAGCGAACCCCTGGAAGTTGAAAAAAATATCGGAAAATATACTTGGACTGTAGGATTTTTACCAGATTTCGGTAAATGTCTTTTTTACCAGATTTGGTAAATGTTTTTTTTTACCAGATTTCAGCAAAATTCCTACTGTAAGGATTACTATGGTGTCGGCAGACAGCTACACTCAGTGTTAGCGACTTGGGGCAATTCTGCGACCTACAGTCAAAACCCAAAAGTTTGGTCATCACGGGGATTGAGCCTTGGACTTGTTCTATCACTTTCCGGTCTTCACGGGAAAAATAGACCCTCAAAATGCTCATTGTGGACGGGGTGCAGGTAGTCGAGGTTGAGTTGGAGCTGAATCCGAATCTAAAGTTTGTAATGAAGAACCGAGTCGAAACCAGCACTACGAGAATACAGAAGTTATTAGTAGTGTCAGATGAGATAAAAGGCTGCAGCGGGTGCTGCGTGATCACAAAGGGGTGGTGTATCAAATCCTATCAGCGACCAATTGGACTCGGTTGGAAAATATCCTATTTTCTGAGCAGGGAAGATAACAATGTTTCGGGATAAGTACGTTATGGAAATCTAAAGTCATTATGCCAACAGTAAAAATCCAAGAAAAAAGTTGCACTTTGCTAAGCTGAAGGCCCGCGAATCGAACTTACAAAATTAAAAGATGAGTGGTATTTGCAAAAAAATTGCAACTGGTTGAGTACAAAAGCAGCTGGCTCTTAAATAGATAGATGTAAATTGAAAATTATATTCTCGGAGCGAGGCACCCTCTTTCATTCAGAAAACAACTCATACTACCACTGTGATAGAAATAAAAATGGAAGCAAAGTAGAGACATTTCACCATTCAAGGAAGAAAAAGTCGCACGAAAAACGTCATCAGCACCGGAAATGCGAGCAGCGTTCTTGCCATCGCCTTCACCAGACTCCTTCCTACAAAAAACAGCTAACGTTTCCATTACAAACTCAAAATGAAGAAGAAACATGTGCCATAGATGGTCAACTAATGCTTATCAAAATGGATTATCATCAGAGCATACTTGATAGTACAGACGGAGAAGGGATCTTCAGCACATGCGCTCGTGGATGGATCCAATGTGGGTTTCTTGATTGGCCTGTAAAGACTCGGAGATCACATGTCGTCGTTTGGTTTTGCTGCTTACACACATACCGTAATATAGAGGGCCTCTTGACACCAGTGGTGGAGGTGTGAACGAACGGATCTGCGTTGTAGTCTACCTTCAACCTCTTCACGAGAATATCAGACGCTTTTCTGCAACACAATGGCAGCATATCTAGTACTGACGTTCTATCGAAAGCTGTTCTGACGTATTCATCTGCTTGTATTGCAGACGTATTCATCAACTATTTCATTACATATGACGCTTTTAAAAAGAAATTCTTCGTGGGAAGGAAAAGCAGACAAAATTTGGGAAGCGCTGACAAAATCACTCTGCATTCATCAAAAAAAAACCCATGTAAAATAATCAGACCTTACCGAAAATCCTCACCCAAAACATGCTCATGTTCACCGGAAGTTACCAGACTTAACAGTGATCTTACGCACTAACCAACAGGTTATATTCTACTTTCTCTACTTCCAGCCTCTTCTAGAAATTTCTGCCTAAATCGTCGAAAAACACGTCAATTCCTTTTCTCCACTCGACTATCGCTTGTTCCCCAACTTTCACCACCACGACCTTACTGAAACTCTCAAATACGATCTCGCGTGTACTGCTCAACGGATGGCTGACGCTGTGTCAAGCGAAAACCATTCTCTCTAGAAAGAAAACCGGTGGATTCTGAGAACACTGACGCATCTGGCCATGAAAAGTCTTCGAGGCAGTCAACTCGATAATTTTTATAAAGAACTTCCCAAAACTCCGCAAAAGAACTTCCTACGCTCTTTGACCGCGCACCCCCGTAGAATTATTCGGTCAGCAATCGAAGCCCTAGTTCTCAAGAGACGTACACTAGAAACGATAAATTCTCATTTTCTCGCAGCCATGAGTTCCTTCCTGTTTTCACGAACAAGCGGTCCCAAGGACCACTCGCAAGAAACGAAAATTCGATGCACTTGAAAAGCACTTTCCACGGCGGACATAGATTCTCCGTTTCCGCCCGACCTGCTCCTCACCTTTCGCATGAAATGCCCATTGCCAGACTACCGCAGGATTTAAACGTCAGATCAATTCAAGTCGACGGCAGGATGCGGAACACGAATTGGGGTGCCGAACACCCAGGGAAGCGAGGAGCGAGGGAGGGGGAGGGAGGGTTTGCGACGGAGCCCAAAACCTATACCAGAGTGCCAAAAAACCTAGACACTTAGCGCTATGGCGCACATCATCGAACTTTTCGTCGCACAGGGAGCCGATGTTAATGAAAGTTTTACGGCAGAATATTCCTTAGGTCCCCCCCGTAAACAGAAGCAGGCCTCCTTCACTGCCCCTGCCGTCTTCAGAATATGACGTCATCTGCCGTCACCGTCGAGCTCAACGAGGCTTACCGTAATCGCTCCGACCTGAAGCTGCTACACAATTTCCTCAGTGAATTAATTGTTGAATAGCTTCCCAGAGACATTAGCTGTGAATGTGCAAAACCGCTTTTGACCCGCGTTTCAGAGACGTCGTAATCGTCTATGGTATCTCAACGACCTCGTTGAGATCGTACCGCGCACAATGCTTCCGTGGGAAAATCTTCTGATGTCGTCGGTGTAGAAGGCTGTTGTGTAGCTGTTGATAGATTATAACGTGCTCTTCAATATTCAGTTGGGGTCATTTGGTTTGGTTTCGCACGCGTAAATAATTCCGTTTTGAATGTGGAGTGAAGTGTCTCTTTTTTTTGGCCACCCCTGTATATGCACGATGAAGTGTAAGTAGGCTGGCAACGGATAAGGCTCGGCCCTACCATTAGTGCCCTTACCGCGCACTTTTGAGTTGTGATAGTGTCGCGACCCTGTAACTAGGGACCCCTCTTTTTCCCTCTTTTCACTCAAAAAGGTACTGGCTCCTGGCACTAATCCCGACTCGTGGCTTTTAGCTGACTTCCATGTGGCGTCTCTCGTAGTTGTACGTCTTGCCGTAGATGATATTTTAGGTGCTGTTGGTAATGAAAGCAATGGAGGGTTAACCTAAATCTTCGAATTTTTGGCGCATTTTTTCATATTTCGTTAAGAATCAGCAGATTGGTATGTCCGCTCTGTAAGCGAGCCAAACGCGTATGAGCTCACCGTCAAGCTGAAAAACATAAAATCTGGAGCAAGGAATCAAAAATGCGAAGCACCTCTCCAAAGGAACCTTCTTCTGTGCTCTTTCAGCTTCTCTGTTCTTGCAACCTCGACGTTAGTAGTGGCTTGTTGTTTTTTTATCTAACTTTTCAAAGCAACACCCCCAGATCGAAGATGTGGGTTCACAATGGTCGATAAATCGAGTTGTGGATGCCGAGATGACTAAAAATAAAAAGAACAAGAGAAAAAAGTCGATGAAGCCCATAAACAAAATATCCCCTGAAAGAGGAAGGGGCGGGTCCAGACGAGTCGTCCGAACTCGCCTGCTCCAAGGCTCACTTACCCGCGTGTTTAATTCGCCGCTATGCCGTAATCCACGTTGCGTGTCATAGGGATGTGCGCTACGTAACTCGTCCAAATGCTAAGATTAGTCGCCAAATGCTGACTTTGTAAGACTCCTAGCGCCATTGTCGCGCACTTTCGAGCCGCGACAACGGCACATCTGTGCTACTCGTGGGCTACTCTATCCCACCCTTTGTAGGATAACATTCTTCGCCACGACTTCTGTTGGGAGTTGCTTTGATAACCCTACAGCACTTAACACCTTTAGGCCTCTGAAGACGATGACTACGTCGAATCGTCTATAATGTTCTACATAACAATCTCGTAACGAACAGGAAAACTGATAATTCTCTCTCTTTATTTGCCTGCAGTAGCCTTGTTAGGAAACACTTGCTGCTATAGGGATGTTTTTGAAAAATCTATTTTTAGAGAACATTCGGCCATAAATATAAGAAAAGGCACCAACCCAGCGCTCAGTGGATGTTTGGCCTGATTTGGCGGTATGGATATATCAGCATGCACGGACTGGTGATTGGCAAATGTATTTTTCAAACCTGAAAAGTGAGACCTGATTTACATGTGTACTTCCTTATATATGTATGGAAAATGGACAACATAACTGGTGTTGATTCACAAGCGTATACATAATAGTTCTGATGACAAACCTTCCATAAAGTGAAACGAACAAGAAGCGAACCAGAAAATGATACCTCGAAAAGAACTTCTCCTCTGTTTTATCTTCATTGCTGCGTTGCGCAGAGCTGCTGCTCAGATCAGACTTCAATGTGCAGGGCGAAATATCAGGCACCTGAGTATAGGTAAATTTTCCGTAAGCGCACGCACTGCCACCTGAGCTCTGCTTGAAAATTAAACATCTATCATTATATGACGTATAGTCTGAAACAATCTTTGTTTTCCAGTGCTTGAAATGGGCTAATATTTCGCTTCACGTTTGTTATTGCTTCAAACCAAGCCCTTCACCATAGAATCCGAGTCGGCATGAGATTTGTAGCTTGGTCGAGAGGTCCCCTGCGCTTTTGGCTTTATATGCGTGCCGAAAGCACCGCCTACATAACCGGAGTTGTGTATCCGTCTCTGCTATAGCATAACACCACGCTCGCGCAGCTTGTTGATTACCCAATGGACGATTATTAGGGCTCAATGCAAGTTTCTGTTGAGACGCTAGAAGTGGCCTAAGCGCAAGTACGGCGGGGCGAGGCTACTGTTAAACCCCTGGAGCCCACGCCGCAGCCCATCTATGGGCTGCAGTTGAAACCAATATTAGGTTTACCTTTTGGCTTTTTCTTTCAATTTCATACGACAATGGTTTCCTCTGCATTATACAGTAGATTTTTCTCCCAATTCATTTGACAAGATTCCTAAAACTTTCACTGAAGTCCCACGCGGCCGCAAAATGTAAAACATGCGCGGTCTCCAAGGTGTTAAAGTTAATAGCTCACGCACTAGTGAGCTCCGTCATGCATATGAAACGGCGGCGTCCATCACTTTTCATTACAAACGTCATGGATAAGCGAACCAGGAGGAACGACATCAGTGCGGCACTCTGCGACTTATTGTTGATCTCAGCTCCAACTTTTGGAGAGGACGGAATCGACCAGCTGTAGCGTTGGAGTCGAGCGTCAAAGTTGCTTATCTTGACTCTTGGCCAATGCATTATTAAAATACCAGTTGGCGCCGCACGCATTGCGCGCGCAACACAGATCTGCGGCGAATTTTGATGGTGCGACGAAAATTTTCAAATTTGGCTTGATACACCACGAATATCTGAATTCTCAGCTAAATTCTATCCGCTCCATCATCGACGGCTTTCAACCTTTTTTTCTTCGTCAACCATTATCCTCTTTTTCTCGGTCTCCGGACTGCTTCCGGACAATAAATCTCGTGGCAAACTCCGCCTACTTCGGTGCGTGCCCCGCCCACCAATAGCATTTGGCCCCCTTCCTTTCGCCGACCTCTACCCCTTTTTTCACCGGTCTCTGGGACCTCTTGGAACCAAATTACGACACTTTTGGCAAACTCCGCCCAATTATGTGCATGCTCCGCCCACTAATAGCAGTTGACCTCCTTTCCTTTGCCGGCCTCTACTCCCTTTCTCCCGGCCTCCGGGACTTGTTGGAGCCGAGTTTTATATTTTCGTCGCAGACTCCGCCCACTTTGGCCAAGCCCCGCCCACCGATGACAGTTAACCTCCACTCCTCCACCCACCTCTATCCACCTTTTTCCCGGCCTCCGGCTTCATTGGAGCCGAGTTATGAATTTTCGTCGCAAACTCCGCCCACTTTGGTCAAGCCCCGCCCACCATGACAGCTGGCCTCCACTCCTCCACCACCTCTATCCACCTTTTTCCGGCTCTCCAGGACTTGTTGTTGAATTGATACTTCCCCGACCCGAATTATGAGGGCTTGTAGAAAATGCTGTACACTTCAGAGCGCGCCCCGCCCATTCTGGGCGGGCCTCCGCCCACGTCATGTATGCAGGAAACACCTTAGACATTGCTCCCTTACACCAAATTGTTTTCTGCTCTGTAGGCTTTCTCCCAACCGAGTTATGAAATTTTTCATAAAGCACTGCTTTTTTAGAGAACGCCCCGCCCACCGGGGGTGGGTCTCCCTAATTCGATGATGTGACTTACCAATGCACACCTTAGCCCACTTTTTGGCCCAGTTTCGAGGTCGTTTTGTCACTGAAATCGAAATCTTGGTCTTCGGTACAATTCATTTCGACGCACGCCACGCCCTCTGTGGGCGGGGCTCCGCTTAGCTGATGTGTGTTTTGTATTACGTGAGACCCTGCCCACCCATCCCACACTTGACCCGGTCCCTCCAGGTGGATCCCGAGGAGCTAGGGAATTTCGTGACAGACATACAGAACGACACACGACACACGACACACGACACACGACACACGACACACGACAGACGAAGCGCTTTATAGTAAGTAGGATCCTTCACAATTCATCACAGCGCTGAATAAGCATCTTAATGCTATTACGATCACGAAAGGAAGCCGGATGCGTGGCACATCCCGAAGCAGGTTCGACCAACGCTGCAAGTCTTACCTTTTATAATTATCTTATTGTTAGTGCAGTAGAAGAGTATCTCTAATATTTGGAGGATAATCACAAATGAGGAGAAAATAGGGAAGAGAGAAAGCAAGAGAAGTGACTTCAAAAGGACCAGCGGAGGGTGTCGGAACAAAAAATGTAGAAAAAATTGAAATACGAAGTGGTGTCAAATAGTAAAACGGAGTTGCAGAAAAGCTAAGGATTCATGCAAAAACCGTAGATTTACTGCCAAGACATTATGATGATGTAGAATGGAGTGGTCCGAAAAAGATTGAGCTCCCCCCCCCCCCGGCATTTGAAACAAATTCAGGTAATTTCATCAGAAGAAAAACTATTTGCATCCACGGAATATCTAGGAATATCATTTTAAAAACTATGAGTTCTAAGTAACATGTAAAAAATATTTTATTATCAGTGCTCCTTCGGATTACCTCGCTTTCAGATGGGGTGATCGGCACCGAAGGACCAAGTTTACTTGGAGGTGTGATGTATGAGGAATGGTCACTGAATGTAAATGATATACGATTAAGTAGCACCTCCTTTACAGGTTGAGAAAAAGAACACTGTGATATTATGATAGATGAAAAAGAGGAGCTGAAATCGAACACATACCTGAGGAATGGCGCAGACAAATCATCATTACCTGAAACAATAGCATAATCAAGCCAAAAGACGACTCAATTAGAAATGCGCAGTGAATTTGTTAACAACGAAACCACTACGCACGCAGCTGAATCACAAGTGACAGTGCCCTTAAAGGCAAGGGTCCCGATCGAATTAATGTGTTATCTTGCCAGAAAATTGGCTAGGAAGTGAGAAGGAGGAACGCTAGAGAGGAAAAAAGTAAAAAGTACCATTGACAATTGGAATTTTTCTTGAAGTTTGATCGTTATTAGACGGAAGGATACAGCGCTGGGAGAAGGAAAATGCGAGTGCACGCCGTGTGCGAGAAGGCGCCAAACGTTACGTATGTTACGATTGATCGAATAACAGCAACCGTAGTGGTCAAGCGAAGTAGCTCTGCTGTCGCGCACTTTCAAGTTGCATCCCATCACTCCTGTGATTACATTGATTAGAAGTCCTGCTGGCTCAGTCGAAGAAATTTCGCTGAGAACCCAATCGCGACCCACCCTTAAGGCAGGATTTACGATTTGAAGACAGCGCATTAGATGTTTGGCCAGTGGCGACGGCATGAAGAAAAACTATGGAAAACGGCCGAGAACTCGAGAAATGAACCCCGTCTTTTTCCATTGATTCCATTGACTTCCGTGTTGATACGACCCTCATCG